TCATTGGTCAGTTCAAATAAGGCTAAGCTGAGTGGCACATTCCTGACCTTTTACCTAAATACCAAGGAGGGGGTTGTCCAGACCCACCTGGATACCAAAGAGGGGGTTGTCCTACCTGTTTTTCTTATCTCTTCCTGCCTTCCTAGCTTGGCTGGCGACTAGATGTCTGATCGCACAGCCCCTAACTCGTGACGAGCCTCGCTTTCTACGTGACTCAGGCCTCGCAATCTTCTCTTTCTTTGTTCCTATGACCAATCCATAAATCTCCTGTCTCACAGCCAGATAAGGCTGTCTTTGCTCAGGTGTCTTTGCTCAGCATCCCGGCCTTTAATGAAGCTTGCTATCTGAAAACCTTTGCAGAGCATTATAACTGTGGTTAAAGTTAAAACCACAGTTTTAACTGTGACCCCAATGAAGTTGGGGTCCTTCAAATCTATAGAACGAAGCTGAAACAAATTTTCAGTCAAGCTAAGTGAGGTGATACAAGTCACTTAATTTCTGAGTTCCAGCTTCACTTTCTTATGAAGAGCTCAGCATTGACTTCAAATAAATGCTCAATGAACACAAGTTACACAGTCAGGCTTGTGGTTTTCTTTAGAGTCTGATAAACTTCCCAGTCTATTCCCAACTTCATAGTTTTCACTAATCTACTCTGGAGAAGAAGGTTTATGGTCACAATCACAATAGCAAGTAAGGAACGATTCTACACTGAGCACTCAGTTTTACTACTGAAAACTTTCATTGTAATTGGTAAAATGTCCCAAGTTCATTATGCTCTTTTATATAATTTAATCCACATGAATTTAAGGGCAGAAAATTGGGGGAAAATTACAAAACAATGCCATTATGTAATCTGTACCTCATAGGTGAAGGCATAAAAGCCTCCTCACAACATACTGTAAACTGTGAAAGAGTAATCTTCCCTACCACGGTGTAACAGACTTAAATCACTTTATATTTATGGTTTCCTTTGTAGTAGGGACTGTTGAGACAGTTTTACTATGCAGGCTAGACAGGCCCGGCACTGGCACTGTAGGCATCACACCTGTTTCTGTTGTTGTTTTAAATAGGTAGGGCAGGGCAGTGGTATAAATTGTTTGTAGATAAGACCGAGTGTTAGTGACTCTTTTTACAGAATGTTTATGTGTGTCTATCCCCAGCTCAGCCAGCAGGAGTTCCTGAGATCTTAAAAGTTTCCATCACTGTTCAGGGAAAGGAGAGGAAGAAGTGTTTTTAATTGGGAAGAACTTTCTGAAAGGAACTAAGGTTATTTTCCAGGAAGATGTTTCTGGTCAGTAGGGAGTATAATTGGTAGAGAGTGTTCCATGTTTCCCTTCTTTTAAGAATACAGTTAAAGCTGCAGAGTGGAAAAGTTCAAAATCTTTTAAGTCACTGTTTTTGTTTCCATCAGATGAACACTCTCGGAAACCAGAAGCTGGCATAGCCATGGAATTGTTCCAGCAGGTATAATTTAAACGTCTGAAGTAAGTCTATGTTTATTCTGAGCAGTTTCACTTTTGTTTGGGCAGCTTCATCAATCATGTATTTTATTTATTCTGTCCCATAATCAGGTGACCCCCCACTTTGCCATGAGCACCAGGAACATCCTCTGGAGCACTATTGGCAGGAACAATTGGGGTCCTTGCAATACCAAGCTTGGAATAGATACCGTGGAAGGCTCGTCAGTTCATTTCCTTGTCCTGAAGGAAAAGGGAACTGTGATCTAAAGTCCGCTCTTTCTCTTCTCTCCCATGCCCTTGCACACCCAGCATGGATTACCTACTCCACTGAAACAGCCGTTGTGCAGAACACCAAGGAGCGGTTTCCACGTGGCCGAGCTTAGCAGTCTTTTCAGAGGCCTCCTCTTACTTGGATTATCTACAGTATTTGACACACTCAATGACTCTCTCCATGGCACACTTTCTTCAGTGGGTACTCAGGATGGAACCGTCTGCTCTCCTGCTTCCCCGATGGGAAGGAGAAGTCCTGGAAGAAGCTGTGTCTGTCAAGGCTGTCTGGTTAAAACTTCAACGACTGTGGAAAGTTTGGGATGCTGCAGGTCCACAGCCTAGTTAGTTTCTCTTGGACTTTCTTCAGCTCCCGAAAGAGCTCTTCCTTACCCACCTCTGTGCCAAATCAAACCTCCTGATAGCAAACGTCTTGGTTTGCTTTCTATTGCTGGGATAAAACACTACAGCTAAAAGCATCCTGGAGAGGAAGGACAGCCAGGACGGGAACTTAGAGCAGAGTCCCAGGACCACCTGCCCATGAGGAATCACCCACAGTGAGCTGAGCCCCCCCCCATACCAGTCATTAATTAAATGTCCCCCAGATTTCCCTACAGCCCAATCTGAAGGAGGGAATTCCTCAATTGAGTTCGTTCTTCCCAGATGACTCTCATTTGTCAAGTTGACAAATGAAACAAAAAACACCAATCAGCGCAGAGATTTTTAAAAACTCAAGTGGCTGGGTATACCTGTGAGGGAAGTTTTTCTTGACTAAATCATTTGACATATGAAGATGCACCTTTTTTTGTTTGCTTTTGTTTTTCGAGACAGGTTTCTCTGTGTAGCTCTGGCTTCCTGGAATTTACTCTGTAGACCAGGCTGACCTCGAACTCAGAGCTCCACCTGCCTCTGCCTCCTGAGTGCTTGGATTAAAGGTTTACACCACCACCTCCGGCTGGGAAGATACACTTTTAATTGAGATCTTTGAGGTGGAAAGAACCACATTTATCTGACCACCTATCTGTTGGCAGCCTGTATAAGGACATGGAAGAAGGAAGCTTGCTTCCCTCTCTGCCTGCTTGCTTTCTCTGGCTAGCAAGTCCATTCCTTCACTGGCCTTAGAGCCTATTTCTTTGGGATTCTGGAATACACTGAAGACCAGCTGAGACATCCAGCCTCGTGGGCTGAACAACTACTGGATTCTTGGTCCTGTTGTTGTTAGGCAGCCATTGTTGGGTTAGTTGGACCACAGCCTGTAAACCATTCTAATAAATCACTTTTATCTATCTAGACTCACCTTTTAGGTTCTGTTCCTCCAAAGAACCCTGAGTATACCAACCTGATGCCTGTACTACTGGTACCAGTGAAGTGGGTTTATTGTTAAAACGGATTCAAAGCATCCAGCACTAAATTAGGCCTGTAGATTTTCTGGCCACCTAGCTTTCCATGTTTTCTTGCCATTTGCCACAAAAGGGTGCACTATTGAAATCTTCTTGAATTGCACCCACAGTGGAAAGAGATGCACCTAAGGATTCCTTGTTTCCCAAGAGGGCCTCAAACTCATATGCAGCTCAGGATGACCTTAGATTTCTGACCCTCAGCCTCATGTTAGCCGTAACACCATCAACATGCCTGCATTCATTTCAAGAATTTAAATTGGCTGTTGGGGTGGAGCTAGGGAGATGACTCAGCATTTAAGAGCCCTTGCTGTTCTTCCAGAGGACCCAAATGGAGTTCAATTGTGAGCACCCACATCAGGGATTTTACGACCAGTGCCTGTGACTCCAGGAGTTGTGGCTCCATCTTCTAGTCTCCATAGGCATGCACACTCGTGTGCATACACACCTAAATGAAAAGAATTTTTATGCCAAAATGAGGAACTGAGAATGTAGTTCAAGGGAAGAATGCTTGCTTCGCATTTGTGAGAAGACTATTCTTTAGCTACTACAACAATTCACGTACACACACACACACACACACACACACACACAGTGTTAAAATTAGTCGTCATAAATAATAAGACTTTCAACCTTATCCCAACAGTCATGAGATCCAAATATTTTCTTCAAATGAGTGTGATCCAGGGCTGGAGAGATCCTTTAGTAGCTCAGGTTCTGCTCCCGTGAGAACCTGAGTTTGGTTTCCAGCACCCACTTCCCGTGGCTCACAAACACCTGTACCTCCAGCTCTGGGTGATTGAAGGCCCTCTTCTGGCCTCTGTGGACAGCTGTGCTCATTGTCCTCAAACCCTCAGGCACACTCACATAATACACACAAATAAAAATAAAACACCTTTAAATGTGAATGTCATCGATTTCACAATATTATAGAAAAACCCTTAAGACATTTGTATAGATCAAACTTTTATTTTGGTGGAAGGCTATAAGTTTTTGTTTTGTTTTGGCATTTAGGACTCATTTCACATGTATGGATGTTTTATTTGTATGTATGTCTGTGCACTGTATACATTTGGTGCCTGCAGAAGCCAGGAGAGGGCACTGGATCCTTGGAACTGGAGATAGAAACAGCTCTTAGCTTCTGTGTAGGTGTCAGCCGGATGGAAGCTGAACCCAAGTCCTGGGCAAGAGCAACAAGTGCTCTTAACTGCCAGCAGAGCCATCTCTCCGGCTCAGTAGGGGGCTGTTGTTTTAAGCATTGAAGAGCTTAAGGGCAAGCACCACCATGTCCTTGTGTGTTCATTTATTTCTGAAAAAGAAAAAGAGTTGGAAAAATGAGACAGAGACATGTTTTAGTATTCCTTTCCTAGGACCTTGTGTGCTGTATACAAGACAGAGACAGCTGGAGAGAAATTCCCCTGGGAGGCATGTCAGTCACTGCACAGTGATTGAAACCTGGATGCATTGTAAACAGACTTTAGCTTACTAACTGCAAGCAAGTAGGTCCCTCAGCCTTTGTTTTCTTTGAGCAATTTCCCTCTGCCCTAAACCACAGAGAGGTAATTAAAAGAGACCAATCTCTGGAGAGTTGGATGCCCTATAGCCAGGGCTAGCCCTAAGATGGGTTTATATTGCATAGATGACCTAGAGGAGTATCTTCCAGCTTCCATAGCCCTCACCCCCCCACCCCTCCTACCTAGTGACCTGTGACACCTCATCTGATTTCTGTCATAGTGCCGTACAGTCATACACTCAATGATAGAACTATCCAAGAACGTATGAGGTGAACCTACTTTGTTTTCCTATCCTTGTGGAATAAAGGGAAAAACAAAAGGTCAGGCAAGCTGGGGGAAAAAAATCACTAGTTTTAACTTACATGTTGGAAGAACAATCTTATTTTCTAGCTTTGGTCTGGTCGTCGGCTGGAATGGCTTTGCCCAAGTGATGACCCACAGAAAGGCCAATTTTGTTCTTTTTCTGCTCCTCTTGAACCTCTTTTTTCAGAACAAATCCTGCCTGGAAGTTGAGGTCAAACATGCTGCTTGGAGTGAAGTAGAGTGGCTTCTCATCCCAGATAGTCTCCAGGCGCTTCTTCCACCCTTCCAGGATCTGCTTCCGGGTCTCTGGTGGGGTATGGGCAATGCTGTATACCACCTGTGGTTCCAAGACCTGGAAGCCACAGAAATGCAGAATGCCACTCTGCAAGACACAGGACACAGAGTTAAGTTGCAGGAGCAGTCTGGCAGTTTGTACTGTAAACAGGCATCAGAAGTTGGTCTGGGGACAGGAGAGATGGCTCCGTGGTTAACAGGGCTTCCTGTTCTTCCAGAGGGCCTGGGTTCAATTCCCAGCACCGACATAACAGCTCACAACTGGTGTAGGAGGTCCTTCTGTATTTGTGTTGCTTTCATTGGTTAATCAATAAAGAAACTGCTTGGCCTGATAGGGCAAAACTTAGATAGGCAGAGAAGACAGAACTGTATGCTGGGAGAAAGAAAAGAGCAGATAGAGCCAAGCCGCCACGGAGTCGCCAGAGTCAGACATGCTGAATCTTTCCCGGTAAGCCATGACCTCATGGTTCTCCACAGATTATTAGAAATGGGTTGAATCAAGATGTAAGAATTAGCCAAGAAGAGGCTAGATATAATGGGCCAGGCGATAATTTAATTAATACAATTTACGTGTGGTTATTTCGGGGGTTAAGCAAGCCGGGTGGTGGGACGTGGCCCCCTCCTCTACTACAGCCGGCCACTCTTCCTACAACACACAACTGTCTGTAACTCCAAGATCTGACACCCTTATTCAGACATACATGCAGGCAGAACACCAGTGCACATAAAATAAATTATTTTTAAAAAGAAGAAGAAGAAGTTGGTCTGGGACTGGCTGAGAGCTAACTCAACCGTTAAGATTTCCACCTTCTCAGAGAACCCAGACTTGGTTCTCAGCACCCATGTGGAGTGACTCACAATCACCTGTCACTCCAGCTCTAAGGGACTGGTTGACCTTTTCTGATCTCTGTGAGCACCTACATAAATGTAGCATAGCACACACAGAGTAATAAAATAATAAGTAGGAAACTTCTCCGATCCCCTTCCCCAAAGCCCACCTCCAGAGCAAGCTGAATGAACTCAGTTCTTAACTTGTCCTAGGGAGCCAGATATGCCGGTCCATGCCTTAAACCCAGCACCCAACACGCTGAGGCAGGAGAACTGCCACAAGTTGAAGTCACCTGGGCTTACATAATGAGACTCCCCTTTTTACGATAATTATTTTTATTTTATGTGTATTGGGGATTAGCCTGTATGCATGTCTGTGAGGGTATTGGGTCCCCTGGAAGTGAAGTTGCAGACAGTTGTGAGCTGCCATGTGGGATACTGAGAATTGAACCCAGATCCTTTGAAAGAGCGACCATTGCTCTTAACCACTGAGACATCTCTCATACCCACAACACATCACACTGCACCACCATCATCCTTTTTTTAAAAAAAAAGGGGGGGGGGCTGGGTAGATGGCTCAGTGAGTAAAGGCACCAGCCTTGCAAGCCCGCTGGTGCGAGTCAGAATCTAGAGCTCATTTTAAAAAATGAACGCATTGGCATGAATCCAGCATGCTCAGTCAAGATGGGAGGCGGGGACACCAGAACTTCTCAGAAGCTCCTTGGTCTGCAAGTCTCTACTGTACATCACCACGACAGACACAGGGGAACCCAGCTGACAAACACACACGCGCGCGCGCGCGCACACACACACACACACACACACACACACACGGTTCCTTCCTCCTTTTTTTATTAAGGAAAACCAAAATGTTCTGGAGCTGCAGATCTAATCCAGGAAGACAGGGGAGCCCAAGGTTTTGGCTGCACATGCTGAGGGCCGGGTGCACTTTGGTTAGGAGAGACTGTTTGACCATGTACCCCAGCCACCTGGGTCACAAGCGTCCGAAGGAAGCCCGGGTGCAGCTGCACCATTGCCAGGCTTTCCTCCTCACACTTCGGGTCAGTTTTCAGTAACTGCCCGGAGGTTTGGACTCCGAGGAACGCTCAACTAACTCCCTTGGAAGTTCACCCACAACAAGGTACCTGAAGAGGCCAGAGGGTGATGTTTATGTCCCCGTGGACGCCGTTAACAGAGTACATGGAGTCGTTACTCCCAGTGGTGAA